TGCCTATATAAGTCGACACCGAATGCCATTTCATGTCATCGACTCGCATGCAGCTTTATAGAATGGCAGACTACACACTGCAAACTAGGGGGGTTGTTGTTGTTTTTTTCTTATATTCTTTTAAAGCTATATTGTTTTTCTGTTTTATTTTGCAACTATTTTCTATTGGGAGAAAGCAACACCGAACACTCAACATGGAAAACAAAAGCATGCATTTCGCTCTAGGGAATATTCAAGCCACTATTGTTACTAGAAGGCTGCATTGGGATTGAGATTCCGCCGGACCCAACACATATCTTGCGGGAACAGGCAGTTTTACCTTTGCTGCAGGCAGGAGGGGGCGCTCAAAAAATATAGCGCAGGGCACATTAACCGCAATTTGGCACATAACAAGAATGATTAAGTTACATTAACATAGGCTTACTGCGGTAGTCAGTGTTACATGGTGTTTGGTCATACACTGATTACATTACTTGACCACAGCAGCACCACCCCCACTGTTGTTTTGCATTTTTATAGAAATAAAAATAATTTAGTGCAGTTGGAAAATGTACCCTACAATTCTAAACTGAAAACGTCTGCTCTACACCAGGGTTGCCAGGTCTGCGTGACAAAACAGTCAAAAAACGTCCAAAGTAGCGCAATGACCATATCCCAAATATCAAAACTTATACAGTATGTCATTTCCATACCTAAAATTTTACAATCACTTTTATGCACATTGATCATAAACACAGCTCAAAAGCTTCTTACCAGTGGCCTTTAAACAATTCCATGGAAAAAATCGCGCACTTGACAACCCTGCATCCAACACGAGCTGCAGGAGTCAGATTTGACTGATCAGGGGTGGAGAGTAAGGAGAGATGACTGATAAGACCATGCTGGCGGATTTGTTGCTCAACAGATCCTGAGCTCATTGACAAATATTGCCCCTCATAAGATGTGCTCTCTTTACACAAAGTGTGCGTGATCGCGAAATTGAAAGTGAAAGTGAACAGTGAGCGCTCATTCAAAAGCGATTTCAATGCCGCGCATATTGATAGCAGCTCCCTGATGCCTGAAAATTATATACAATAATGTTTGCAGGTGCGGGTGGGAGTGGAACACACACGTTGCGGGAGCAGGCGGTAAAAAAAAAAATATATATATATATATATATTATATATATATGGAGCTCACATATGAATATCACACCAATTTTGTGATTGGCTATTATGTAGTGTGGGGTGGGCCAAGCTTCTGATTTTCCCCCGTGGAGCCAGGCCTGGCGTAAACACGCTATAGGGAATGAGTCCAATAGACTGTCACGGCCTGTGATTGATAGAGGACTCAGATGCAGAGTTGTGAGATCCTTTATTCTCGCCACAAAACACAAAATAACATAAACATTCCCGCTGTAAGATCAGCACTGATTGCCCAGACCACAAAAAAGCAAAAGACGGGCTTGATTTTAGAAACGTGGAAAACCGGGTGGATCTTCTTAACCTGGGGGGTTAATTTGAGTCGCACCGACACCGGACTGAGTACCTTAGGAATAATAAATGGTCCAACAAATTTAGGTCCCAGTTTATGTGAGGGAAGTCTGAAGTTAATGTCCTTAGAAGACAACCAGACCTTCTGACCACACACGTAAAGTGGGGACTTAGTACGGTGACAGTCCGCCGACGCCTTGTTCCTCTCGCCAGTCCGAGTGAGGGCTTCTCTGGCGATCCTCCAAGTACGGAGACATCCCTGAATAAACGCATGCGCGGAAGGAAAAACGGCATCGGATTCTTGGGAGGGGAATAGTGGTGGCTGGTAGCCTAAACAGCACTGGAAGGGAGATAAAACTGTAGACGAGACCAGGAGGGAGTTATGCGCATAGTCGACCATGGTTAACCTGGAACTCCAAGATGACAGTTCAGCAGATGCCCCGCAATGCAGAACACTCTCCAAATCCTGGTTGGCATGCTCGGCCTGACCGTTAGTCTGCAGGTGATAACCGGAGGATAGACAGAACTCGCCCCCAGCTGTCAACAGAACTCTGTCCGAAACTTAGACACAAACTGGGGATTCCTGTCAGAGACCACGTTCACCGGGAGGCCATGAATGCGGAAAACATGATCCAAGACATTCGTTGCTGTCTCCATCGCTGAAGGCAATTTGGCCAGGGGAATAAAATGGGCCGCCTTCGAGAACCTGTCCACAACAGTGAGGACTACTGTCTTGCCACTAGACGGAGGCAAGCCAGTAACAAAGTCCATTGCTATGTGTGACCAGGGCCGCGAAGGGACCGACAAGTAGCCCTGCTGGGGGTTGATTGGAGCCCTTACCCGCAGCACAAATCGGACAGGCCGACACGAACCATCGAGCATTCCGCACCACGGACGGCCACCAAAACCGCTGCTTGATTAACTTACAAGTACGAGTTGCTCCAGGGTGGCAAGATAGGTTAGAAGAGTGGCCCCACTGTAGGACGCTAGTTCGGACTGACTCGGGCATGAACAGCAGACCCTCTGGGCACCCTGCGAGAACAGTAGCATCGCGTAGCGCCGTGCGGACCTTGGACTCCACCCCCCAGGTGACTGCCGCCACAACCCGTTCGGGAGGCAGAATAGCCATGGGGAGGGTGGGACTAGCCTCAGCCTCAAAGATCCGTGGAAACGCATAATTACGCATATTAGAACGCATATTAGAAAACTATTTTCTAATTCTTAGAGCCCGGGCAATAAGAAATGGTAAACCTGAAACGTCCAAAAAATAATGCCCAGCGAGCCTGACTAGAATTTAGTCTGGATATACTCTAGATTTTTATGGTCAGTCCAAACGATAAACGGAATTCCCGCACCCTCTAACCAGTGACGCCACTCCTCCAGCACCAGCTTGACAGCTAGTAACTCCCTATTCCCGATGTCGTAGTTCCGTTCTGAGAGGGTTAAACGATGAGAAAAGAAAGCTAAGGGATGTATTTTCTCGTCTTAAGATTATCTCTGAGACAAAACTGCCCCAACCCCCACCTCGGATGCATCCACATCCACAATGAACTGACGAGACGGGTCAGGGGTAGCTAAAATGGGAGCCGAAATGAACTGACTCTTTAAGCTCTCAAACGCAGTTTGGGCCTGTGACGACCAACAGAATCACTTCTTAGTGGAGGTGAGACCTGTCAGAGGAAGGACTACCTGGCTAAAGTTCTGAATGGACCGCCTGTAAAAATTGGCAAACCCCAGAAAACGCTGGACCGCTCTACGACTATCTGTTTTTACCTTGGCGAGACCCATTCAGATACCTTCAGGCAAGAGAATAAAACCCAGGAACGGAACCGACTATGCGTGAAACTCACACTTCTCCACCCTGGCAAATAAACGATTATCAAGCAGCCACTGGAGCACTCGCCTGACGTGCTGGACATTATCGCGCTCGTTCTGGGAGAAGATCAGGATGTCGTCGATGTAAACAAAAACAACCCGATCGACCATGTCTCTGAGCACATTGTTGATGAGTGCCTGGAAGACCACCGGTGAGTTTGAAAGCCCGAACAGCATGACCAAATATTCAAAATGCCCTGTAGGCATGTTAAAGGCGGTCTTCCATTCATCCCCCTCCTTAATTCGAACCAAGTGATAAGCACTGTGGAGTCCAACTTCGTAAAGATGGTTGCCCCCTGCAAGAGCTTGAAGACCGATTACATCAACGGCAAAGGATAATGATTCTTTACCATGATGTCATTCAACCCCCGATATTCAATACAGGGGCGCAGCGAACCATCCTTCTTCTCCTTCTTCTCCCGCCCCAGCTGGAGAGGAAAAGGGACGGATGATGCCTGATACCAGAGAATCATGAATATACCTCTCCATGGCCTCCCTCTCTGGTCCGGACAGAGAGTAAAGGCGCCCCTTAGGCGGAGAAGTGCCAGGCAACAGGTCAATCGCACAGTCGTACGGGTGGTGCAGAGGCAGAGATGAAGCTCGGGACTTACTGAAAACTGCTCTCAAGTCATGGTAAGCCGCCGGTACATCCGCCAGGCTCACCGGCTCCTTCTGCAACACAGAACAAGACATGACAGGGGAAGATGCAGCACCCAAACATTGAGCTAATTGCTAGTTACCCTCACGGAGAGCTGTAATGACTCCCGTCGAGGGGCCAAACATGAAGGCTCCACAGCTTGGGCTGGGGATGCCAAATCATGCCTCTTGCTTGGGAGAGGAGGGCCTTCCTCAACAGAATTGGCCAGGGGGCTGCCGATAGCAGCTGAACCAATCAAGGAACGACGTCTGGTTCCACCAGAGTGGGGCCACCAGGATGACCGAGCACCTGACTTCGCTGACCCGTCTGATGACCTGAGGGAGCAGGGCAATCGGAGGGAAGGCATACAGGCAAGTACTGGGCCACTTGTGGGCCTCTCAAGAAATATATTGGCCAGTGAGAGTTGTCTTCTGATGCAAAGAGGTCCACAAGAGGCCCTCCCAAAGACATTCCATATTATCTGAACCACCTAGGGGTTTAATCTCAATTCTCCTGGAGACACATTGCCCAGGGACAAAGTCCGCTCCTTGGTTCAACTTGCCCGGCAAATCCCCTCAGTGAGTGCAGATTGCATTGTGCCCATAAAAGGAGATGTCGCGCCATCTTGTTCTTCTTCTCCCTTTTGTTCACAGTCCAGCGAGGAGATGATCTTGGTCCTTTAGGAGAAAATTCTGATGAAATGGCATCTGGCGCAGACTTATATAGGCAGTTGGCTCCACCCATTTGGCAGGCTGAAATGCCATTTATTCGTGCAGCTACACAAACATTAACAAATCAGGGTTCAGCATTCAGAGTAAACAGGAGTTTCTACATAGCGTAGTTATGTGTGAATGTTTTGAAAAGGAACAGGATATTAAGTTGCAGCTAAAATTGGCCAGAGAAAGGGACTACTGTCATTTAGAGTAGGCTTAACCTATTGTTTTTTGGTACATATTTTCAATAGTCTCTTTTTATAACACTATTGAACTTGACATGATTATTTTTTTAAGACGGCTATGATGGATGATTTCTATATGATTCAGAAGTACCTGGAAGATATTAAAGAATCCATATCTACTCAGGATCTCCCAACAGCGGTAAACACGATCCAAAACATCCTTGAAAAACAGGATCTTGTAGAACTTAACATTGGTGTGACGGGGGAGTCCGGTTCTGGAAAATCCACGTTTGTCAATGCATTCAGGGGTTTAGGGGATGAAGAAGAGGGCTCTGCTAAAACTGGCCCTGTAGAAACCACTACGGAGCCTAAAGCTTATCTTCACCCAAAATACCAAACTGTGAAAGTGTGGGATCTTCCTGGCATTGGAACACCAAACTTCAAAGCCGATGAGTATCTTAAACTTGTTGAGTTTGAGCGCTACGATTTTTTCATCATCATCGCTTCAGATCGGTTCAGAGAATGCCACACTCAGCTGGCCAAAGAGATCACGAGAATGGAGAAAATGTTTTATTTTGTTCGTTCCAAGATTGACTCAAGCATTGATGCTGAGAAGCGGAAGAAGAGCTTTGACCAGAAAAAGACATTGGATATCATCCGAGAGGACTGTGAAAATGGTTGGTTATTCAGTTAACATGACAATGTTTTTATTAGATACAGTAATTATTATAAAATATTTAATAGTTTATTATAAAATATTTAATGACTTATTTCATGATGCCCTTTTCTGTCTAGGTCTGAGAAAGATCGGTATAGAGGATCCTGTCGTGTTTTTGATCTCTAGCTTTGAGCTCGGCAAGTATGATTTAAACCTGCTGCAGGAGAGAATTGAGAAAGAGCTTCCACAGCATAAGAGACATGTGCTGATGTTGGCTTTGCCGAATATCACACTGGAGATCAATGAGAAAAAGAAGAAAGCTCCAGAGAAAAACATTGGAAAAGTTGCCTTACTGTCTGCTTTTGTGGCTACAATCCCTTTACCTGGTCTTTCAGTTGCTGTTGATTTTGCCATTGTTAAAAGGGAGATAGAAACGTACTACAGTACCTTTGGTCTAGATGATCCATCCCTGCAGAAGCTCTGTGAAAGATCTGGGAAGACCATTGACGAATTCAAAAGTCTATTGAAGTCGCCACTGATTGGTGGGATAAACCCAGCTTCAATATTATCCTTAGCAGGTGCTGCATCTCTGGTTGTGGCTGAAAATGCAGTTGAGTATGCTGTGAGTCTCGTACCCTTACTTGGCACTGTGGTGGCATGGCTAAATTATTACACCTGTAGTTTTCCTTCATCACGTTAGAGAGAATAGAAATAATCACTGTAAAGAAAAAGAAACACGAGTCAATCACTCTTTCCCTTTTACGATTCACTTTACTCACAAATTTTTTTTATTTAAATTTGGCAACATTCACGACAGATTTTTATCTCTTATCAACACATAAAATATTAAATACGTGTGGGGGGGGGGGTTTGAATACGTGTGTGGCAGCAATGCGTCACCATAGTTTTATACACTATAAACCGTTTTTATACAGTATAAGCTGCGTCCGAAATCGCATACTTCCATACTATATAGTAGGCGAAAAACAGTATGCGAGGCGAGTAGTATGTCCGAATTCATAGTATTCGAAAAACAGTAGGCGAGA